TCAGGTCATGATCCCACAGTTGTGGGATCAAGCCCCACGTTGGGCTTGGATCTGAGGGTAGAGCCTTCTTAAGATTCCAACTACATTCTGCCTCAGGGCCTTTGCATTTTGCTGGTTCCCTTGCCTGGAATATATGTCCCCCATAGATCCCCATCAATTCCTCATCATCTTTTGACCGACACTCTCTGATCATTCTACATGAAATCAGAGTGACTTATTCTCAATTTGCCTCTTCCTCTCTCCTGTGATAGACCCCGTAATGTGCCACCCAGGTTCCTCTTCACTGATGGATTTGCTGCCCCAGCTGCTGGTAGAGCAGTCAGCAGGGAGCCAGCTCTCAGCCCCTTCAGGGATCACCTCAGTTAGAGAGACCTGACCTTTGACCCAAGCAGGTAGAGAAGGCACTAGTACATCGCATTGAAACTCCATGACACCCACCTGTCCTCACTGACTGCCTTTGCTTTCCACTAAAGGCAAATGTTAGGGCTGGTTTGCAGATGACTCTGTCTGATACTTTGGCATCAGCTGGGGGTAGACGACCACTTAAGAGTGGCTCTGAGACACGGTGGAGAAGGAAGACCTTCCATGCGCAGAACTCTGAGCGCTGCCTGTTGTCTACTTCCTTCGGATGGAAAGATGGCCTGAGTTACAGATCTACACAGTCCTAATGGTAGTTGGCTAATGGGTTGGCCAACTGGCTGGAGACTATGGAAAAAGAATTGGTGACGTGGAAACTTGGGGAAGAAATGTGTGGACATTCATCTTGTAATGACACTGAGTAGGAATAAGTATGAAGGTATTTGCTCCCGTGAGCATGTCCTCAAGGGACAAATCATTGCACAAGGGGCTGTTGCCACGTCTCTTACCCACCAGCCCCATGCTTATTCAAACACACCATGGTGGGGGCGCCTGGGGGCTCAGACGGTCAAGCGTCCGATTTCAGCTCAGGTCATGATCTCGTGGTTCAGGAGTTCAAGCCCCACGTCGGGCTCTGTGCTGACAGATCAGAGCCTGGAACCTGCTTCGGATTCTGGGCCTCCCTCTCTCTCTGCTTCTCCCCAACTCATGCTCTGTCTCTCAAAAATAAATAACAATTAAAAATTTTTTAAACAAACAAACAAATGCACCGTGGTGTCAGAGACAAGAAAGACAGCCATCAAGATATTTCTTCCCGCTTTGCCTCGTTTTCACAGGCAGTAGCTGCTACTTTCCATGGCTATAGAATCTGCTAGGTCCCTCCCCTTCTGACCCCAAGTTCTGACTCGTCTCATTGTGCTGCAGTAGCTCTTTTCGTATCCCGTGTCCGAAGGGGTGCTAACAGCTTCTCAGTGTTGCCGGTCTCTGGGCACCTCAGTGGCCTCTGCTTCCTTAACCCTTCACAGCCCAGCAAATGACCCTTCCATTAAAGTCTCTTGAACCATCCAGAGAGATTTTGTCTCCTGCCTGGACACCAAGGGAGTCCCTGGGTTTTGTTTTGCTCTTATAGGACCTACTACCCTCTGACACACTACAGGACCATTTTCTTGTGGCCTCATTGCCCGCCTCCCAACACAAGGGAGTTAGAAAGCTCTGTGAGGGTGGGCATTCTCATGATATCATTCAGCGCTGCGTTCCTCATGCTTAGAGCGCTTCTTGGCTCATGATAGCTGGGTGATAAATAAATGGCTGAAAAATAAATGACATAATCCAGGAATGACATTTCCAGACATTCTGGAAGCATTAAGCTGACATCTGAGGATGTTTGCTAGTCTTTAGATGGATGGCTAATAACCACTGCTTACGGCAGCGTAGAAACTATACCTGGGACGTCTGTATGATCGCGTGGGGGAGGCCGATGAGTCTGTTAGTGCACCTGATCGCGGATTACCACCGTCATCTGCATCTGCTTAAATAGAAACACTGCCCTGAACTGTTATAGGAGACCCAGATAGCTCCCCTTTCATAAAGGTCCTTGCACTGCTGTGGGGTTTCTCATCAGACATGGGTGTGAATTGTCCAACCGCAGCAGCGGCCACGCTTGGACAAGGGAACTAAAGAACTTGTATGTGGACTGGGCCAAACTTGACATGTAGACATTATACCACTAATAATATTTTCAGCCTCTTAATGTAGGCAGGTCCTCTAAAAAAGTAGAAATTTCCTCGTTCTTAATTTCGAAGAATAGTTTTTATTTAAAAAATACTTCCCAGGGGCGCCTGGGTGGCTCAGTTGGTTAAGCGTCCAACTTCAGCTCAGGTCATGATCTCATGGTTCGTGGGTTCGAGCCCCGCATCGGGCTCTGTGCTGACAGCTCAGAGCCTGCAGCCTGCTTCCGATTCTGTATCTCCCTATCTCTCTGACCCTCCCCTGCTCATGCTGTCTCTATCTCTCTCTCAAAAATAAATAAAACATTAAAAATAAAATAAAATAAAATAAAATAAAATAAAATAAAATAAAATAAAATAAAAAATACTTCCATCCCAAGTGGCACTCTCAGGGGAATGAGTTAAAAATGTGAGGTGTATTCACACAGTGCAGATGAGTAATCTCCAACCTCACACAATATGGATGAATCTTCAGCAAAGCAGTAACAACTTTCTGAATCTATTTTTTTTTTAAGTTTATTTATTTTTTGAGAGAGAGAAAGAGAGGGAACAGCAGGGGAGGGGCAGAGAGAGAGGGAGAGAGAGGATCCCAAGCAGGCTCCACACTGTCAGCACAGAGGCCGACAGGGGGTTTGAACCCACAACCCGTGAGATCAAGACCTGAGACGAAACCAAGAGTCAGATGCTTAACCCTACTGAGCCACCCAAGCCCCTTTTGTGAAATCTATTTAAATAAAAAGTTTTAGAAAGCACAGGTAGGAGTAATATATGCTTTTCAAAGCTAGAAAGTAGACATTCCTCCAGGGCTGGAAAGGGACCTGGGGGGGAGGGGGCGGGGCTAGGAGGAGGGGCACAGGTCGGCAATGCTCTATGTCTTGATCCGGGTGCTGGTTATAGGGTAACATTCCATTTATGAGGATTCAGGAAGCTCTATACCTACCATACATCGCATTTCCACGTGTGTATTACATGCCGATGAAAAGTTGGGTTTTCTTTCATGTCGCTGCACATCTAAATTTCTAAGGAAGGAGGGCCATCTCCCCACCCCCACCCCCGGGGAACCACTCCTCCCCCCGCCTGCTCAGCCCAACACACACTAGGACACCATTAATTTTTTAAAAATGTTTTATTTATTTTTGAGAGAGAGAGAGAGTGCGAGTGAGAGTGTACATGGGGGGGAGGGGCAGAGGCTGGTGTGGACGGTGAATCTGAAGCAGGCTCTACACTGACCGCTGACAGCAATGAGCCCAAAACAAGGCTCGAACTCAGGAACCGTGAGGTCATGACCTGAGCCAAAGTCAGACGCTTAACCGACCGAGCCACCCAGGCGCCCCTGTGGCATTATTACGACTGGTCTTCTGGTTTCTGGTGGTTCAAATGCTTGAACTGGTTTTTAGCTTTTTACGTGTCTTTATTTCTAATCCTATCATGTTTCCTTATGTAACTAAAATATTTAACATTTGGGATAAATTCTTACCATTCTTTTTTTTAATTTTTTAATATTTTTATTTATTTCTGAGAGAGAAAGAGAGAGAGAGAGAGAGAGAGAGAGGCAGAATGAGCAGGGGAGGGGCAGGGAGAGAGGGAGACACAGGATCAGAAGCAGGCTCCAGGCTCTGAGCTGTCAGCACAGAGCCCGATGCGGGGCTTGAACTCACGAACCACGAGATCATGACCTGAGCTGAAGTCGGATGCCCAACCAACAGAGCCACCCAGGTGCCCCTATTCTTTTTTTTTTTTTTAATGTTTATTTATTTTTGAGAGACAGAGACAGAGCGGTAGAGAAAGAGAGAGAGGCACAAAATCTGAAGCAGCTCCAGGCTCCGAGCTGTCAGCACAGAGCCCAATGTGGGGCTTGAACCCACGAACCGTGAGCTCATGACCTGAACTAATGTCGGACGTTCAACTGACTGAGCCACCTAGGTGCCCCTAAGAGTTTATTTTTAAGTAATCTCTACGCCCAACATGGGGCTCTAATCCACGACCTTGAGATCAAGGGTCATGCGCTCCATCGACTGAACCAGCCAGGTGCTCCAAATTCTTAGTGTTCTTAATCGTTCAAGGGAATAATAGTCATCTTTTGTGAGCTGGGTCTATGCAGGGTTAATATGCAGTATCTTAGTCCGTCCTCCCAAGAGCACTGCAAAATGACCCTGTTATGCCCACTTTACAGGTAAGGAAGTTAAGGCCCAGGGAGCTGAAATAGCTTGACTAAGAAGAAGCACTCCCACACCCTGTTCATGTCACACTCAGTAGGGGTTCATTGTGCCACAATCTCCTTAACGGTTCTTCTATGCTTTTCATCCCCAACCCGAAAAGGAAGACCAGATGGCTCTCGGCCATGGTGGTCTGAGCTACCCGGAAGCTACCAGATCCAAGGGTTACGGGAACGGAGCATAGGGATGTTTGCACTGAAAATCACAGGTCCTGATCCTTCATGCCCAGCCGTGAACCACAGAGAAAACCTGCAATAGTCCAGCGAGCCAGAGAGCTTTAAAAGTCCTGGCAAGAGTTCTGAAATCAGACCCGTCCAGCATGTGTCCCTGAATATCAGAGCAGACGCTATATTTACCCTGAAAAGCCCTTCAGTGCGCTGAGAGCTATAAATAGTCATTAGGGCCTGAGCTAGTGGCTTTAACACAAGGATTTCCTTCCAAAAATGCAGCCCCATTTTAATTAAATTTGTAATTAACCTTTGGGAGGGCAGGCCCCGGATTCCATCTGCTTTTGGACACACCGTGAGTAATTTCCTATTCATTGAACGTCTGGGGATTAGCAGATTCACTGGGTGTTGCGCTCGGAAGGAGCCCTCCGGGGGCTTGCACAGGGCCCGGCTCCCTGGAGAAGACACGTGGGTGCATGGTGAGTGCACCCGGTAGCCGCGGGCAGCCCCCCTGCGCAAGGTGTTCTCCCCAGAGTCTCTTCGCAAAGCCAAGTCCTTTCCCGGCCCCCACCCCTGTCGTTCCCCACCGCCCCCCCAGGACAAGATGGGAGTCACCGCCGTGTTTGTGCTGCCTCTGCTGCTCCTGGGAATCAGCGGCCTTCTCTTCATTTACCAAGAGGTGTCCCGGCTGTGGTCCAAGTCAGCCGTGCAGAACAAGGTTGTTGTGCTCACCGATGCCATCTCGGGACTGGGCAAGGGTAAGCTGGCTCCGCCCGCGCTGCGCCCACTCCCGCGGGAGGGCCGGGAGGGGGCAGGATGGCGGGCGGCCAACCTGCTAGGAGGGAGGGGGAAATCGAGGCTGCTGTGTCCTCTCCCAGGGTCCGTCGCTAACGGGCCAGCGTCTTTCGGGGGCTGTAGGTCCCCACGCCTGTAGGAGAGTCGAACTTGCGGCCTCCGGGCCAGAACTGGTCAGCAGACGTCATTTGTTTTTGTGCTCCCGGGGCTCCAGAAATTTTGAAATGCAAAGCCCTTGGACGGAAGGCTGTACCAACTATGAGCCCAGACTTGGGCGCTGGGCTGAGTCCGGGGCTCCATCATCTACTAGCTGGCAGATTGCACTGCTCTGCTTTGGGAATATCATCTAGAAAAGCAAGGTAGGGTCTACCTCGCAGTGTTGTTGGGAGGAGTGAATGAATTCCTTGACGGAAAGCACAGAGAAGCAGTCAGGTGTTTGTAGCGGTCATATCGATGAGCGAATTCGGGCAGGAAGTGTGCCCTCCAGAGAGATACACACTCCACCGGTCTCTGCTATATTGCACGCGGGCTGATGACCTCACCCATGTTACCTGCTGGCCTTGAAGGCACTTAACGCCTGTAAGCCTTGATGTGGATGGTCTCAGGACCATTTCCTGCTGGTTGGCATCTGTGTAGACTTGTAAGACTCTGACTCTTTCACTCCTAACGATGTTGGTGCAGCCGCGTGTGGCACAATTTGGGCACCATCTTTGTTTTTGTTTTTGTTATTTTTAATCAAGCATAAAACCCACATAGACAAACACTCATTAAGTCACTCAACAGGTACCCAGTGAGTCCCTTATGTGCTGGGTGTTGAGATCAACCCTGTCCCTTGCCAAAAAGACCCCCTGGGCAGGGGGCAGTGCCCTAATCTCTTGGTGCTGCCCTCATGAGAACATCTGTAACCTTCCGTTCGGGAATTCTCGGAGAACCTCATTCCTTTGGGCATCCCAGTGGGAGTCAATGTCATGCTCTGAAGATGGGTTCTATTCCGGGGGGTGATCGCCCCAGGCTCACCATGTGACATAAACAACAAAGCATGGGGGCAACCTGGGGGACTCAGTCGGTTAAGTGTCCAATTTGGGCTCAGGTCACGATCTCACAATTCATGGGTTCGAGCCCCATGTAAGGCTCTCTGCTTCAGATCCTCTGTCCTCTCGCTCTGCCCCTCCCCTGCGCATGATCCCTATCTGTCTAAAATAAATAAACATTTAAAAAACAAGCAAAGCAGGAGGTGGGTAAGCTGGCCCTCTTAGACGCCATGCTCAGAAGGGGGGAGGGACACAGAGTCCAGCTTCTACAGGGACAAGCCAGCACACACACATCTGTCAACCAGATCAGATACGAGAAGACAGGGACTAGTTGTTGCCCTGGGGGGAACACAAACTCTCACCTAGAGGTGGTCAGAGTCCGTGTTGGGGGAAATGTGTCCTTCAAACAGAACTGTCCACATAGCATCAGGCCAGCCGCCAACGGGAGACCCCTCCATCGTGAAGCCTTCCTTGGTCCCCTGCTCCTTCTTCTTGGATGCTCCCCGAGGAAGTGGCCTCTGGGGTCCCGTGGCTCCTCATATGAACAGCCCGCTGTTCCCACACTCCTCACGTTGTGCCCTACACGTGTGCTTCTCAGCTGGTCTGCCAGACCCCAGCTCCCTTATGGTGGAAACTCTGTGTTTTTCACCCCGGTGTCCCAGAACTTAGATCAACGCTTGGTGTATAATAAGCACTCACACACACACACACACACACACACACACACACACAAAGTTCGTTTAATAAATGCCTTTAAAAGTGAACATCTTGGGGCAGCTGGGGGGCTCAGTCGGTTAAGCATCTGACTTCAGCTCAGGTCATGATCGCACAGTTCGTGGGCTAGAGCCCCACATCGGGCTCTGTGCTGACAGCTCGGAGCCTGGAGCCTGTTTCAGAGTCTGTGTCTCCCTCTCTCTCTGCCGCTTTCCTGGCTCGTGCTGTCTCTCTCTGTCTCTCAGAAATAAAACGTTGAGAAAACAAACTAAAAGTGACCACCCTACGGGAAAGCACTCATTTGGATGACTATGTTGTTGTAGTTTTGTTTTGTTGATTTTGGACTAGATTCCAATATGATCAGAGAACATATTTTGTATGATTTTGGTTCTTTTAAATTTGTTGAGGTGTGCCTTATAGCCCAGGACACACCTGCCTCCGTGAACGATATGCAGGTGTGTGAAAAGGGTGTGCATTCTGCCGTGGTTGTGAGGAGTGGCCCACAAAACATCGATTAGACCCCGTTGGGTTGGTTGAGAAGGCTGTTCATTCCTGCGTCCTTCTGAGTTTCTGTGTTATTGCTGAGAGATCTCTATCTGCTTCAGCTGTCTTTTTAATTTATTTTTTTGAGTCTCGTTTGGGTTATAGTGACCCAGTGTTCAAATCCAGGAAATCGATCTCAGGAGCAACATGGCATTTTCAGAGGACTTTGGTCTAATCTCTGCCCTGACTAACGTTGGTGTTCTGTTGCACTGGGTCTCGAAGGACCCACCCTGGAAAGAAATGCAAAGCTGGAAAAAAAAAAAAAAAAGCAAGTCTAAATATTTAAAAGTAACCTGAGAAGCTGGGCATGTGTGGCCTCAAATAGGTTCAGACTGCTCTGGTTCTCAGGTCCGAAGCAGCAAAATAGTGATGGGCCCTGAGCAGACGGTGCAGGCTTTGCATCACCCACGGATCAGCCTCGATCCCCAGGACCCGACCGACTGGCAGGTAGCCCTGGAGAAGCTGTAAGGACCCCGCGCCAGGCTGTGGACCAGGGAAATCAGACAAAGACCAGGACACGTGAAATTGCCCCAAGCCCACACACGATCAGCCGCGTTGGGGATCGGGTCACTTTGTGGGTTGTTTTTTTTAAATGTTTGTTTATTTTTGAGAAAGAGAGAGAGAGAGCATGAGTGGTAGAGGGACAGGGAAGGGGAAAGAGGGAGAGAATCTCAAGCAGGCTCCACGCTGTCAGCATAGAGCCTCATGCGGGGCTCGATCCCATGGACCATGAGATCACGACCTGAGCCGAAATCAAGAGTCAGACGCTTAACTGACTGAGCCCCCCAGGTGCCCCATGGGTCACTTTGTACCCGCTGTGTCTTTGGCAAGAGGGACCTCAACACCCTGCAGCTGGCTGCGCCTCGAAGGGCTCAGTGCCCTCGAACGGCCCTAACACGCTTATGAAACCAGGCTGCTTGCCTGTCGGTCAACAGCCTCTTCCGACGGTCCCCGGTCATCCTTTGGCATTTTAGTCCCCCTGGAATCAGAAAGCATCTCCGTCCGATGGCGCCTTAGAGTCAAGGAGATGTGGAAGGAAGGGTGAGGCTCAAGTGTGCTGCGTGAGAAAGGAATAAACCTGGACCAACGCTCCTGGCACGAAACGCTGTGCCGAGCTGAGCCGATCAGGAATCAGACCAAGAGTGTACCCGCGCGTACCAGTGCCTGCGGCGGCAGAAATGACTCGTTCGGTGGACGCCTTCAGCCTTGCTGTTCCGCAGTGGTGGACGCATCCCTGGGCTCCAGCCCCCGGGGCGCACCTGGGAGAGGCGAGGTTCTCACGGAGAAGTGGTACGTGATGATGAGCCCTCCGGGCTGCCCCTCCCAAGGAGGTCAAGGTCACAGGCCCCTCACCTGCCCCCATGCTCAGCTTGAAGCTGTAGAGTATGCGTGGGCGGCAGTACCCTCCGCCCCACGTGCTTCTTTCTGGGAAGTGGGCCGAGAGGTAGAGAAACAACCCCCCACCCCAGGCATGTCCCTGCTTAGTGTCCCATCCTGGCTTCACCGCTTACCCGCTGTGGGACTGTGGGTGAATCGTTTCCACTCACTGAACCTCAGGCCTTAGATTTGCAAAACACAACCATCATGGCTGCCCCACGTGTGGGGGAGAGACGGACCCTTCCCTGTGCTCCCAACAGCTCAAGGTGACATTGTCCACGCACTTATTTCTTGACTCAGGTTTCCGTCGGTCAGTAGACTGACCCGCTCTCAGCCACACGCAGCACAGCTGTTTCTAGACCTCCCTGGGACCTCCATCTGTCTGCGTCCGTGTGTCTATCCGGCCGGCACTGAAGGATCCCGCACCACCACTGTTCTCCAATACCACAATCTCCCTGCCCACATGCCCGCTGGTCAAACCCCAGCCAGCCCCCTCCTCTGCGCCTGCACGCAAGCATGAAAGCGCGTGGAGCCCTGGCATTCAGGAATCCAGCTTCCCGTGGGCACCCGGGCCACCCAGGTATCCTCGGTCATGCTGGCTCAATCCACGCTCACCTCCATGTGGTGTGAAACAGGGCAATGGGAGGTACTGAGCACTGCTCGTGGGTGTTTGGTGATGCCCTTCCCAGTCCCTGCGCGTGGCCAGTTCATCTGATCCGTAGACTCTGTGAGTGTTGCCTGCATGGCTCACACACCTTCCTTCCCTCTGCTGCTGGGCACTGCCTCCTCTGGGGACTTCCACGACCTTTGCACCCAGCCCTGGAGGGAGGCTCGATCAGCACACTGAGGTGGGACAGCTCGCAGTGAGGCGTACGCTCCAGAACTTTCCTCGGATCCAACCAAGATTATGCTTTACCTGAGACCTTCCTCCCTGATGGACTTTTCTCTGACAAGCACTCCCAGCTGCCTGCGTCCCTGTCTCTGCTTCTGGGAAACCCACCCAGACACCACCTCATGCCGTTACTGTGACAATTAAATAAGCTAATATATGTAAATCTCTTTCAAGAGTCCCTAGAACAAATTCGTGCTCAAAATATGTTAGCTTTTCTTGTTCTTGTTCTTTATCTTGTTCTTAGATACCAGTACGATGGCTGGCAGCCCTTTACCAGTTGAGAAACTCCTATATGGGGTGACTCAGGAATTTGTTCAGAATAAAATGAACTAGAGAGAAGGCAGATTTACCTTTTTTTTTTTTTTTTTTTTTTTTAAATAAAAAGAACCTTGGCTGGAGTATCTATCCACAGAGAAAATGTGCACGAAAATGGTGGCGTTATGTGAAAAAAAACCCATGATGGCTCTTCCCAATGTCTTTTTTTTTTAATGTTTATTTATTTTTGAGAGAGAGAGAGAGAGAGAGAGAGAGAATGGAAAGCAGGCTCCAGGCTCTGAGCTGTTAGCACAGAGCCTGGCGTGGGACTTGAACCCATGGACTGCAAGATCATGACCTGAGCTGAAGTCGGACGCTCAGTCAGACTGAGCCACGCAGGTGCCCCTCCAATACCTTTAGATGAAGATCTGTAAGGGCTTTGATCCTGGAGGGCTAGGTGGACAGGGTCACCTTTCTGTCCACCTTCGGGAAGAATATCCTAATAATCAGAACCATCCCACAAAGGACGAGCTGTTTCACTCCACTCTGAGCTCCCCTTCACGAGAGGTAACCATGTGGAGGCTGGAAGCGAGAAAAAAAATTCCATCCCCAGGAGGAAGCTGAATGAAATGACTTCCAAGGGCTTCCAACAGCCCGAGGACTTTCGAATGCTTTGAAATCTTGCATTCCTAAGAGAGATGCTCGTCATCAGTGGCTCAGTCCACACAGTGCGCCCTTCCCTCTTTCCTTCTTCCGTTCAGAGTGTGCTCGGGTGTTCCACACTGGTGGGGCGAGGCTGGTGCTGTGTGGAAAGAACTGGGAGAGGCTGGAGACCCTGTATGATGCCCTGATCTGCGTGGCTGACCCCAGCAAGGTAAGGCCTTCTGCCAGTCGGCTCGGGGACGCTCCCTGGCACCCTTAGCCTTCACTGGTTTGGTGTGTGTGTGTGTGTGTGTGTGTGTGTGTGTGTGTGTGTGTGTGTGTGTGTTTAGCAGCTCTTTGGGCAGGTGGGTGAAATTTGGTGATTGCTTTGGGAGGACGGGAGGCAGTGGTCTCACTAATCTTGACACGGTCTTGACCATTCCTGCCAAGGATTTGCTCTCCAGCAACTCACCCTCCTCACCCCTATTGTATTTAAGTCAGAGTCCATGGGGGGCGCCTGGGTGGCTTAGTCGGTTAAGCGTCCGACTTTCGCTTAGGTCATGATCTCGCGGTTCATGGGTTCGAGCCCCGCGTCGGGCTCTGTGCTGACTGCCAGCTCAGAGCCTGGAGCCTGTTTCAGAGTCTGTATCTCCCTCTCTCTCTGACCCTCCCCTGCTCACACTGTCTCTCTCTCACACAAATAAATAAAAAAAAAATTCTTTAAGTTTTGTCCATTTGTTTTAGGTCTCCCAATTTGGGACTTTGTTCTTCATGTACAAGAGGTAGAGCTCTTATATAAAGATGCCTCAGTCCAAGTTCATTATCGCTGTCTGCAATGTCAAGACTCATTATGGTTCTCAAAGGTATTTATGATGCCTTTTTGAGGTATTGACCCCTAATTGCTCTCGTGGCCTTGCAGTTCCTCATTTAGATGACAAAAACAAGAAAAAAAAAAGTTGTTTAATATCAATTTCTAATGTTTCTACAGACACAGTAATAGGAAAAAAGGGAAAGAAGAAAAAGATTTANAGAGTCATGATAAACTCTCAGAGCTGATTTGTTTTTAAATAAGACCTCAGGAGCGCCTGGCTGGCTCAGTCTGAGGAGCGTGTGACTTCAGCTCAGGTCATGATCTCGCCGTTCATGAGTTCGAGTCCTGCATTGGGCTCTGTGCTAACCGCTCGGAGCCTGGAGCCTGCTTCCGATTCTGTGTCTCCCTCTCTCTCTGCCCCTCCCCTGCTTGCACTCTCTCTTTCTCTCAAAAACAAAATAAACATTAAAAAAAATAAAATCTTTAAAAAATAAAATGATACCTCAAATGATATTTCTGTCAAAGAAATCAGGTAAGGGACGTCACCTTCTAAGAAGCCACTGGGCAGTGAGCACTTCCCAGGAGGTTGTAGTTTTCAAAGTATTTTTGGAGCACTGCCTTCAGAGCTTTCTTCCTGGTTTTGGGGTTTTTTGGTTTTGTTTTGTTTTTTGTTGTTTGTTGGTGTTTGGGGTTTTTTTTTTTTTTTGCATTTGATGTTGAATTACTTTTGGAAAATAACCAAAAATAATTCAGAACGAAGCGTGGCATTTGGGGGGATGAAACAAACTACAGCACAGCATTTGAGTTCTGTTTGGGGGATGTTACCAGGTGCTGAGGTCCATTGTGTGGGAAATACCCAGTGAAGGTTTCTTTACTGCAGGACTTTTCAGAGCCTTTGATATGCTAATATGCATTGTGTCTCCCCAACAAGAACATGCAATAGTCTGTGTTTCCCAAACAAATTTGAGCAAGGAAGCCTCTCTTCAGGACTTATCTTTTGTCAAATACTGGGATCGCTTTTATCACATGGTGTCATCAATTTTCCAACCTGTTCTCTGCTTTCAACCATGAGAGTCTTTTTCTTTGCTTTCTTTTAATGTTTGAGAGAGAAAGAAACAGAGCGTGAGCAGGAGAGGGGCAGAGAGAGAGGGAGACACAGAACAGGAAGCAGGCTCCAGGCTCTGAGCTGTCAGCACAGAGCCCGACATGGGGCTCCAACTCACAGACCGTGAGATCATGACCTGAGCGAAAGTTAGACGCTTAACTTACTGAGCCACCCAGGCGCCCCTAGACCATGAGAGTCCTGATGACAGTCTAGGGCTGAACGCAATGCCTGGCACACAGGTGGTGTTCCAAACCAAGGCGTGTAAGATTTTGGTGAAAAACGAAATGTGGCTATGAAGCACTGTGATAGGCTCTCCTGTGGTTCGTACGTCAGCTTGGCAAAAGCCATTTGCAAAAAGGAGCTCATAAAATCTTATAATGGTGTTACCATTGGAATCCACGCATGGCCTCCTCTCAAAAGGGTGATATTCATTTGGATTGATCATTGATCAGTTCTGGCCCCTGACTGTCCTTCTCATTTTCCCCTCTGTGGTCATTCTCTGTGAGCTCTGAATTTCACAAGGGGTGCGGGGGCCCCCAAGGTCCACGAGAGGGAGGTATCCCACACGTACCTTGACTCATTCATTGGTTCAGCAGACATTCACCCCAAAGCTGGTTCTCCTGGACCTCTCGGACATCAGCTGTGTCCCAGACGTGGCCAAAGAGATCCAGGACTGCTACGGCTGTGTGGACATCCTTATCAACAATGCCAGCATGAAGATGAAGGGGCCTGCCCATAAGATTTCTCTGGAGCTCGACAAGAAGATCATGGATGCTAATTACTTTGGACCCATCACACTGACCAAAGGTCTCATGAGTTTGACCTTCCCGTAGATTTCTGGGCCACCGGCAGCTAGGGAGGGCTCTGTCATGTAGCCAGATGATCACCCAACTGTGGATGGAATCTCCAGCGCCCCCCTCAGAAAAACTCCTACCAATTTGGTGAAAGCTTTAAGCATCCTGATGATAAATGGTGATAAAAGAAAAGGGATTTGGGAAGTATCTTACTAGTATATTCCAACCTCCCTCTCTGGGAACCCCCTTCCCCATCCAAGCTCAGCCCTTTATCCCCCCTCTTTTTTACTCACATCCACGGCTCTCTCTCCAATCCCATCCCACATCACTAGACCATTGTCTTCATGCTTCGCATATATTTTGTGGATCACCCTTACCCTTGATCTGTTCCTACCCGTGACAGTTGGTCAAGGGTAGAGATTCTGTCCTCAGAAATATAGAAGAGAAAGGTTTATCCCAAACTACAAGAGACCCAATGTGGTGTCGATCCCTTTGCAGAAACAGGGAGAACAGATCCCTTTTGAGGGTAAAATGGCGGCTCCTGTGTGGAGATATCTCACAGTCAAGGTCAAATGCAGGTCTGGATCCCAGGGGGGTTGGGGCTGGAGATGACACGAAATAGAACCAAGAGTTGAAGCAACAAGCACCTCCCCCCCCACCAAAGTTTAGCAGAATCCCCAAAGGGAGGTTGTATGAATGGAGATTTTCTGAATTTAGAGCATGGAGTACCCCGGCTAAGGAAGCATGATCTTAGAACTGCCTTCTCCACGCCCACAATCTCCATGATAATGGGGTTTGGGACACACGGTCAGATGAAGGGAAAGTTATCAGAAGCAGACTGAAATGATGCCCCAGACATAACGGTCTCCTTCAGTCTGGTCCCTGGGGACACACCTTTGGTTCAGAGCCTGGAGCCTGCTTCCGATTCTGTGCCTCCCTCTCTCTGCCCCTCCCCCACTCGCTCCCTGTCTCTTTCAAAATAAAATAAAGACATACAAAAACATTTTTGTAATAATTAAAAAAAAGATTCGCACCTACAAGAGACGGAGTTTAAGACACATTAGGACCGAGATGAGCCTTCCTGCTCCAGGCAAGAGGGGGATTGAAATAGGATGACCTATGACCTTTCTCACCCCTGAGACCCATGTCCCGTGTTGCACATGGGTGGGTCACAGAAAACCACCCAGCAATCACCCGGTGAGCCCAGCCTCCTCGGGAAACACGGGCGAAGGGACGTCCGTGCTCCTGCCCGCCTGTGTCTGGCTGTGGCTGAATGGCCAGTGAGGTAGCGGGGTCCTGCATGATGCGAGGGGCTGGGGAGGGGGTCTCCCCACTGCCGTCTGCCTCGGCCTGTGATGCGTAACCGCGACTCTGTCCTGTGCCTTCCAGCCCTGCTCCCGGACATGATCTCCCGGAGGACCGGCCAGATCGTGCTGGTGAATAACATCCAAGGGAAGCTTGGAATCCCATTCCGTTCAGCGTGTAAGTTGCTACGACAGACACGTTTGGCCTTTTGACATGTGTTGTCTAAGACAAGGGATGTTGTGTGCAGCGCTGGGCACATGTTATGAAGGAGGAGGGAGGGCGGCGTCCCGATGTGAAACGCTCTATTGGCTTTGCTTTCATGCCCTCGGTCCCTATTTTTGAGCACCTACGGCTTGCAGGTGACGGGGTCCCTCTTCCCCAGAAGATCACAGCCCACAGGTGGTCAGGGCATGCGTGCCCCCGGCTGAACACGATCAAGGCCGGACACAGGGTCCCCTCCTGGCGTGGGCATATGCTCAAGTTCCCCTTTCTCCATAAGGACAGGAAAGGTCACAGCTGAGAAGGAAGAGATGGGCGCACATCACACAAGGGAGAAAGGATGGAAGGTTCTGAGGGAGGAGGGAGGGGAAAGTGAAAGGGGCAGAATCCCAGGGGAGGTGGAGAGAACCTTCCAAAGGTGGGCGTCCTTTACAAAGTCTCCGCCTATATTCATGGGACCCAGCTGGGGAGATGCCCGCCTCCTCGTGGTAGGATGCGGGAGAGCAGGGTGCACACCATATACATTTCTCGATGATCCACAGCGCCCTGCACAAAATGGGAACCCGGTAAATGGCTGGTGGGCAGAGGGCGGGGCGGAGGAAAGAAAATCGGATGGGCTTCCTGTCTGAGCCCCGTCTGGATGGGTGAGCCCCGTCTGGATAATGAAAAACCACGGGCCGAGGGGCTTCCGCAACATGGTTTAAACTCCCACCGGGGGATTCCCGATAGAGATCTTCATTCTTCGTTAGTGGGGATCATAGCCTCTGTCTCTCTTCATTCAGTAGAGTCCATTAGGGAGACCGAGTCTCACACAGGTCCAGAGGGGGTCAAGTGAGCAGATGTACGGAAATTCATTTTATGGACCGGGGAAGGGCAGCCCGGCAGCCCCACGGCATTTGGTTTGGGCCAGCATGCTGGCAACTTCGTTTTAATTAGCAATGTAGTGCTGTGGTACGGTGGTTTGTAATAGGAAATACATATTTGGTCTTCATCTCAATTCTGGTACAGAGCTTTAAAAACCCTTGAAGTCCCTAAGTGATGGGAGGATCACTGTCTCTTGTTACATTAACGAGGTGACTTTCGGACGCCGTCTAAAGATGGGGGGCTGCTTGCCAGGGGCACCAGCCAGGTAATCAGAGGGTGGGAACCCCCAGTCCATCCCCGCCTCTGAGGAGCGGAGAGGGGCAGGAGATTTTTCTATCGCCAAAGACCCACGATTTAATCAACCATGCCTATGATGTAGCCTCCATAAAATCTCAAAAGGTCGACTTTGGAGGGGTCTGAGGTCGGTGGGCTCGTGGGGACTCGGGGAGAGCAGTGCGCCCAGAGAGGGCATGAAGCTCTGAGCCCCTCCCCACGCACCTCACCTGCTATGCCTCTTCCACCTGGCCATTCCTGAGTTATGTCTTTTTTTTTTTTAAGTTTATTTGTTTATTTGAGAGAGAGAGAGAGAGAGAGCAGGGAGGTGCAGAGAGAGAGGGTGAGAGAATCCCAAGCTGCGCTGTTAGCGCAGAGCCCGAAGCGGGGCTCAAACTCACAAATCATGAGATCACGCCCTGAGTCAATACCGAGAGTCAGACGCTTAACCGACTGAGCCACCCAGGTGCCCCGATTAGGTCCTTTTACAGTAAACCCGTGACCTACTCACTAAAAACGTTTCTCTGAGTTCTGTGAGCCGCTCTAGCAAATTACTCAGTCTCGAGGAGGGGGTCAGCTCCGTTCGGAAGCGCAGGTGACAGTTAGGACTTGTGATTGGCCTGAACTGAGTGGGGGCAGGGGACAATCATGGGACAGAACCCCCACCCTGCGGGATCTGACTTTATCTCTAGGTGGACAGCGTCGCAATTGAGTTGTAGGGTCCCCAGCTGGAGTCGGAGACTCGGTGCTGTGGGCAAGAAAGAGCCCACGTGTTGGAATTAGGTGCAGAATTGGTCAGTATTTAATTATTTAACTACGAGGACATTTCCGTCAAAATCAGCACCTCCAGCTCCCTGGACAATAGATCTGGGGCCACAAGGCCCACTTCCTGAGGCGATCGCTGGCGGACCCAGCGGAGGCCCGGCCTGCAGACCGAGCGCACAGTTCCCACGCCCCACCCCCACCCCAGGGCACCTGCATCTTCACCCCACACAGTGAGGGGCGGGTGGCTTTCAGGGCCGTGTGGGGCATGCATCCCACAGCTGTCAGCGTGATGGCAGAGACCACCATACACCTGCCTCCAGGTGACACCCCCAAAATGGGAAGTTGGGGTTCATCATGCCCCAGATGGGGTTCTAAGTCTCCAAGGCTTTAAGGAATGTCTTCTCCACTCTTTTGGGGATTCCCGGAAAGGTTCTTGTTTACCCAACCCACGGCCTCAACCATGTGGAGGGAATCTGGTGAGTGGCTCAGACGGTCTTGGAGGAAAAGGGCCAGGAAGTGGGAGGGGAGATTTGCTCTTCGGGCCGTCGAGGCCTCCAGCTGGCCTGGGACCCTGGGGAAGTCGCTGGCTACCGGGGTCTGTCTGTCCTCACCTGCGAAGGAAGGCGCAGGGCGAGGCCCCTTCCGTCTGAGCTCGAGGAACGGGCATCTCCCGCGGGGAGCAGGCCTGCGGCCCCCCACCCACCCGTGGCCCCTCTGTCTTCCAGACGCCGCCTCCAAGCATGCGGCTCTAGGCTTCTTCGACTGCCTCCGAGCCGAAGTGGAGGAGTACGACGTGGTGGTCAGCACAGTGAGCCCCACTTTCGTGCGGTAGTACCGCGTGGATCCAGGCCAAGGGAGCTGGGAGGCGTCCATCTGGAAATGTGAGCTCTCGGGGGAAGCTGGGGCCTGTGAGGGCTTGGGGGGCTCTGGGGAGGTTCTGGGGGCTCTGGGGGGCTCTGGGGG